TATTGTCTTTCTGTGTGTCAGCCAAATCCCTCTCAGACGGCTACTCAGAGCCATTGACCAACTCCCCCCCCTGATGTGCTCAGGATTGGTTCATCCTTCTCCAAACTCTGGAGTAGTATCTTGGGGATGTGAATAGGGGAGACTTCACAATCCCTGAGTCTAGGAGAACAACCAGGTTTTCATAAACTTTTAGAACATTATTGGGATATGGGTCATACAGGCCTCTGGAGGAGTAACTATTCCAGAAGTCAGGCACCGCAACAGAGAAAGCATGCTTCCTATTATAGTAGATGAAATTGAGGAGACCTGGAGCATACCTCTTTGCTTTATTTTACAGGCAGACAGCTGGAAGACCAAGCATACTGCAATATGTACATCATTGCTCATGCCATGCTAGTCTGGACTATTTGTATGCTTAAGGTCAGGGGTGTCAAACTGGTGGCCTGCAGGCCAGATGCATCACACATAGGCCATGCCTACCCCAGCTCCGCAAAGGCAAAAACATTGTGATACAACACGTGATGTCACGTGACATGATCGAGTTTGACACCCATGTTCAAGATGATCTTCAAGCAAAGATCCAATATGTAGAGAACATTACAGCAGCCTAACCATTAGGTGAGTAGGGCATGAGTGACCATCTGAAGGCCCTTCCAATTGAATTGGGTGCAGCTGGTGCATTAGTTCTCAGTGAACCATCTAATGCAGGGGTGTCAAACTGGCAACCTGTGGGCCAGATGCATCATGCACAGGCCATGCCCATCCCAGGTCTGCAAATGGGGAAAATGTGACGGCAATGTGACGGCAATGTGACATGGCGAGTTTGACATCCGTGATCTAATGCCATTTGTTCTTTGAGTAGGAGCTGTGTGACAAAGTTGACTCCCAAGTTATGCCTTAGTTTTGGATGGAGAGGTGTAGCACCAACACTGACTAAAACTTTCCCCAGTAAAATGGGGCTAAAACATGCACAGCCACTTGCTGTATCGTTAAAATTTAATTCATTTATTTAGTTCATCCCATTTCATGGGAAATATTGTCTGATGTGTAATGTGCTGTACTGCAATATTGACCTATCATGACAAACCTACTGGCTAGCTGAGGTAGTAGATGGTCAGTCCAAATCTGGCTCTAGATTGTAATTCTGGGATCTAAATTCCCATGGCCTAGTTGTAAAACCACTGTCAAGTTTGTAACTTCATGAATGACTCTTGATTTATAGATCCCATAGTTAATACTTAGATTGGTTCATCATTAAATTGTTCATAGTTTTCAAACCATCTACGTGATTATATGTCAGAAACCTTGCATTGCTATTCTAGAAGTGGAACTCTACCTCATAAATTTATATTCTAAAGTTCAGTGATGAGGCAGCTACCTAATAGTTACCGGTAACTATTTCCAAATATCTACAGAACCTTTTTCCTTTACTATTTGTTAGGTAAGTGGAGATAGTGACAGGGAAACCAATGTTAGCTCCATTAGATGGGCAGGACTGGGAAATCAACTACACAGGAAGGGCAGAACTACTTCTATTGAGATTAGCTATTATAAGATAATCATGAAAATCTGATAATACTGTATCTCCTCCCTTCAGTGAATTAAAAGAATCTCTGATTTGCTTTCAAATATCATATATCTGTTCTAGATTTTAAAAGTCAGCCTCTTTTGCCCAGATAATGACAGTTGCATTTTTTTCATCAGTGTCATCTTTCTTATTTTCTACAATCAACCACTTATGTTCTTCAAGATAACCCAGAACCGTACAGAGAAGAGCAACCAGGATGGTTAGGGGACTGGAGATTAAAACATATGAAGAACAGTTACAGGAACTGGGCATGGCTAGTCTAGTAAAGACAAGCAGTCTTCCAATATCTGAGGGGTTGCCACAGAGAAGAAGGGGTCAAGCTATTTTCTAAAGTGCCAGACAAGGAATAATGGATGGAAAATGAACAAGCAGAGATTTAACCTGGAAATAAGGAGAAACTTTCTGACAGTGAGAACAATCAACCAATGGAATAGCTTGCCTTCGGAAGTTGTGGGAGCGCCATCACTTGAGACTTTCAAGAAGAAGAGATTGGACTGCCATATTGCCTGGACTTTGGAAAGTAAAACTTCTAAATATATTGAAAGGCCAAAATAATCAGTCTGAGTTTTTTTTTCCCCAAGGAAGAAATGATAGAAATGACAGTTATTTTTGGCTGCAAAGAAACAGAGGAATATAAGATACTGTAGTGTAAAAGAACAACAGCTATTCTTATTTTAGCTTTATCTTGGTATTTTATTTATATACAGTATAATGGAATTATCTTTATCATGACAATTCCTTCTCTTACGACTATTAGTAAAGAATAAGTTTATCTTTTCACTTGAAACTCAGGGGGAAAATACTACAAATGTTACTTGTGGATAATTTTTAAAATAGCCAATTCTTAAAGTCAAGCAATGTCCAGTTTACAAGATGTCACTGGATCATTGCTTCAAAGTAACAAATACAGCTACATAACTAAAGAAACTGTCACTTTCAAATCTAGAATGCCTAAAACATTGCCACTGATATAGGGCAGCAACCTCAATATAATTTCCTGTGGGTATTTTGGCAAATATTGCTTTTGTTAATAACTTTTAATCTAGTCAAAGGTGAGTAATGCATTCCAAAGTACCTTAAGCAATAAAGGCAGTTTCTCATGGCAACCATTCACAAATACGATGTTGATTAAATTAAATATCCAATCCTTTTACCAATCCTTGCAGTTACAATCTTAACAGTCTATAAAACAAAGGAAAAGTGAAGTAAGATAATGAGCAGTGTTGTGGTTACGCTTTGCAAAAACAATCAAATTGCTAGTCCCAATTTTTTCAGGAACTGGGTATGTCTAGTTTAATGAAAAGAAGGACTAGGGGATAGCAGTGTTCCAATATCTCAGGGGCTGCAACAGAGAGGCAGTCAAGCTTTCTCCAAAGAACCTGAAGGCAGGATTAGAAGCAATGGGTAGAAACTAATCAAGGAGAGAAGCAACCTAAGAACTACGGAGAAATTTCCTGACAGTTAAAACAATTAATCAGTGGAACAACTTGCCTCCAGAAATTGTGAATGCTCCAATTTTTTTTTTAAAAAAGATGTTGGATAACCATTTGTCTGAAGTGGTGTAGGGTTTCCTGCCTAAGCAGGGGGTTGGACTGAAGACCTCCAAGGTCCCTTCCAACTCTGTTATTCTATTCTAATTGTGGTTGCTAAATGAAGATTACAGGATCAAAGGTCCTCAACTTACAACCTGGAACATCAATTGCTTAGCAAGGCTATTTGCACCTGATCTTATGACCTTTTTTGCTACAGTTGCTAAGTGAATTATCCCAGTTGTGAAATGAATCTCACAGTCATTACGTGAATCCACCTTTCCCCATTGATTTTGCTTGTTGGAAGCCATGAGGGTAGATCCCCAAATGGTGATCATGTGATCTCCGGGATGCTGTAAGTGACACAATGTAGAAGAGAGACTGGCAGAGCTATGGGGAAGAGTTAAATGAGACATCAGTTTAGAATCATTATGTATCACAGTCGAAAGAAGTCCAAACCCACTTTAATGCAGTTAAAGCTTATCTGTCCAGATGCTAATCCTGTGCATTGGCTATAGTAATCAATTAATTAGAACCTTAACATGTGCACCTGTTTTTTTCACATCTGATGCATAAATGCATGCCGGTTGCCAAGTGCCCAAATTTTAATTTTGTGAGCATGGGGATGCTGCAATGTTTTTAAAAGTGGGGACCAATCATTGGTCATTTTTTTTCAATTATAATTTCAAAGAATCACTAAATGAATGGTGCAAATTGAGGACTACCTGTCATCCGAGATGATTTGAACTGTAGAAGGTTGCCTTCTTCTGGAGAAACTAAATTAAAGAATGTTGGCTAGAATTAGAAAAAGTTTTCCCCTTCCATACTTATTCTTCAGTCTTCAATTAAATAGATTAATAAAAGTTGTGATTTTAGAGATGATTTCAATCATTTGGTAAAACAACATGACCAATAGTCTTAAAATATTTATTAATTAAAAAAAGATTAAAATCTTTGATTATACAAAGATGAGACTGATCTCATGCAAACTCTTCGCATACAATAAAAATAACTCAAATATTAGTAGGACGGGTTTACAAAATAACTTCTTTATAATAGCTTTTAATATAGAAGTGCTGCTCGTCTTGATGTGCCTAGAGCATTTTGAGAATAATTTAATTACAAAGCTTTTTTTTTGGTAAAGATTTATACACTGTTCTACAGGAAAGATGCCAGGATTTTCACATCTTCACTATGATTACAATTAATACCCTATTACTACTACGACTCAGAAAACTAGACTTAGACCTATGAACATTGAATAATGATTTCTTCAGTATCACTGGACCTTTAAACCATTTACTTATTTATTTTAATGTACAAAGCTGCCGAAACATAACTGTGCAGCATTTTTTAACCACTTTTATTTGGGAGCAAGTGTTGGTAAAGTCAACAGGACTTATTTCCAAATAAATGTGCAGAGAAGTATAGTGTTACCTTTTATTTTTCTTAAATGGTTAAAAAAAATCCTTGATATTATTATGGATGGCATCTGCTTCTGCTTAATAACAAATCATGCTGGATTTCAATTTTGTGTATATTACAAATAATTTTCATAAATTATTAAAACAATTAAGGGACTGAAATATCATGTAATTAGAAACGCATCAAATTTGAATGTTGTACAAAAAGAGAGCTTCAATATGAAACATTAAGTCTCTGAGAATGAAATATACTACAGATTTCTGCAGTGCAGTCTTCCATATACAACAGACAGAAACTTTGTGTGCTTAGATGGCTCTTCGGATTTTCTGACTTTTTTTCCTTCCTCTAATTGCTGGGAGTAAAAAACTCAAAAGATGATATTAAAATGCATGCCACTCATCTTCTCCAACCATAGATGCCCCAGTATTTGACTTGTATTCTTATTGCAGGTTTCCTTTTTATCTCATTTTCCGTAGCCTTATTCTGTTCTCTTTGTCTCTCTTTTTAAGGATAAGTATGAACTGGTTGAAAAAATGCTCTTGGTCTTTCTTTTTCTGAACCAATCGAAAACGTTGATCTGTACCATATTTCTCTGCAAACTCCTTAAAGGTGGTCCTAGAATGGGAAAGGAATAATCAAAGAATAAGCAAGGATTCTCATACAACTGCAAGCTGGGTCAATAGATGCTTGTGAATGAAGGCAAATATATGTGTCCCATAATAATGTTTCAGGATCCAGTCTGGGTAGGTCAGGGGTATCAAACTCAATTTCATTGAGAGCCACATCAGGGTTGTGTTTGACATCAGGGGGCCAGGGTGGGTGTGGCTAGGTGGGTGTGGCCAGCTTGTCATCACTCATGTTGGGGCGCCTGTGGGGGCCGGAGTGCTCTGCCAGCAAAAATGGGCTCGTGATTTCCATTTTTGGCCGAGCTGGCCTCCTGCAACTCTCTGCCAGTGAAAAGGGACCCAGGCCTCCAGAGCTCCATTTTCACTGGCAGAGGCACCATGGGGTGGTCCTTTGCTGTTTTCCAGCAGGCTAGATCTAAGCATCTCATGGGCCAGATCCAGCCCGCAGGCTTTGAGTTTGACATCCTTGGGGTGAGTCATCAGGATCTGAGGTTTGGATTCTGCAATTGATGGTTATTGTCAGGATTCTGGTAGTCACCCCAAATTAAATCATGAGTCTTGAGCCAAACTTCCAAAACTTCAAAGGATTTAGTAGGAATTAACATGTCCGGCACTGCCTGGGTGTAGCTGACTCTGAGACTCATAATTCATTTTCACCCTTGACCCTGGTTTTTCCCCAGCCTCTGGGTATATCATAATTCATATTCTCCAATGAGGCACATCCATAGCCAAGAGTCATCAGCCATGTTCTCCAGTTAGAGTTTCGCACAGCAGAAACATCAGTCACCTACTTACTATCTCTAAAAAACTATGTATGGAATGCACTTTCGATTTCCAAGCTGCTGCACTGCTCTTTCAGACCCCTTTCCCCCCTCCCTTTCTGTTGGCAACTCTAAAGAGATCATAGAAATATTTTATGAGTTGACAGTTATACTCTTTGGCTCTTTCTTAAACACACAGCCTTTTTTTTTTTTTCTACTGAAACCATTCTTACTGCATCTTTTCCTTGTCACAGAGGTGAAAAGAAAATGGAAATATTAAAGTCAAAAATCTCGAAAATTCATTGACCTGCTTGGCTTCTCATCCTAAGTCAATATTCCACTTTCACATAATAGACTCATTTATTGATTCATGGAACCTAGAGGAATAATTAGTTCACTGTGGATGATCTAACATAATTAAGATTAAGATGGGATTCTCAAAAATTAAGAGTTTAAATGGTTTCACTAAAACTTGCCAAACAACATGGCTTCTTTCCTTCCATAGCAGCATAATATTTTAAAAGGCTAAGATTTACATCAGAACTGGTGAGTCAAATATTTTTTTATTCTAAAGTGTGACTCTCTCTGGAAATATGGAGGATGGGACCAGTACTAACATATATAGGAGAATTTGTGAAATAATTTGTATGGCTAAATAAAAAGTGTGTATGGCATATGGAAATTCTAGCTTAAATTTCAATGGTTGGCTTTATGTAAATTGCATTCAGGACCACACAGTTAAAAACCTGTTCTTATTGTGTGTGTGTGTGTGTGTGTGTGTGTGTGTGTGTGTGTGTGTGCTTTACACATACAAGGTCCATAATAAATAGGCAGAACTTTAATCACATGAGCAAGGCAGACATCTTGATTTTTGATGACCCTGCTTCATGCCGTCATGTAGTAATTTTTAGGCACCCCATGAAAATCACAGAAAGTGGGGAATTTAGAAGGGATTGTTGTATTTAAAGGGTCATATTTTTTGAAGCATTGCAGGAAAAATGGATGAATCTAATGATTCTGATCCCTTTTTGAAATAACTTTCCACCCCCACCCCTGGTTTCCCTAGGTATATTTGCTTTCTAGTAGCTTGAAAATATTCAATTCAAGAAAAAAGGGCCTTTCCCCCCATGATCTTGACAGAGATAAATATCATATTTCTAGAGTGTAACACAGAACATGTTTGTTTTAGCTTAAAAAGTGAAGACTTGCAAAGTGTTCCTGCTAGAGATAATAAAATAGAGATAATAATTGGTTCACTTTACAATACAAGAAGCTAGTTTTCTGCAATATTAAGTGTCCGCCTGGGGAATTATCTTAAACTGTGAAAATGTATTGTACGTGCTCTCATTTCTGGTCTTTGACTGAAATAAACTTTGACTTGACTTGAGTAACTGCCACATGATATTATTTTTAAAAAAAATGGAAATGAAAGGAGGTGCTGACCCAGTGATTAGCGCACATGCCCAAAACAAATAAAATGTCAAAAACATCCAGGGTTGGACTTAACATTCAGTGATAAAGGATATGAGTGTAGATAGGAAAGGGCATAGATAACATCTTATCCATTTGATTTCTTGCAAATTGGTATTTTGTGATTGTCCTAGTTGTCATGGCAGCATTTTGCAACTATGTGATTTTAACATTCCTAATATTTATGTGTTCTCTCTCTCTCTCTCTCCCCCCCCCCTTCAATTCAGCTTTTGACTCCTGAGGACTACTTAGACAAGTCTTTCTCATTTTCTTGGCAAAATTTCTGAAGTATTTTGACACTGCCTTCTTTCTAGGGTTGCTTAGACCCAGCTACCTTCCTGCCTAATGCATGAATAGAACTCACATTTTCCCAGTTTCTGCTTGTTGCCTTAACTACTAGACCAAACTGTCTCTAATAAATAACTATAATGGTGCAGTACAAGTCAACCTTTTAAATTATTATCATAGCTACTTTTATTCTCATAGGTATTGAATAATTCTTCAATATTCTCCATATACAAAAAAATATAATACATTGTTAAAATCTGAAAATTATTCCCTACATTAACATAGGGAGGTTTATAAAATTATTCAAACAATGAGCAAGTTTTTCTTTATCCCTGTAATATAAATCTGTCATCATAAAGTATCTTGATGATTAATAAAATTACAAATAAGAATCATAACTTTATAAACGATTCTTAGATCCTTCTTTCCATGAAAGATCATGGAAAACAGCTAAACAAAACAGGCAACATTTTAAAATCTTACGTTTAGTGTGCAGTCACCATTATGAATGATAAATTCTTATGTGAATATAATTTGGAATTTGTCAGAAGGCAGAAAAGACATTACTGATTTTATAATATAATAAAGTGTACTTGGGCATACAGCAAGCATTAATCACGCTTGCAACTGGATCTGCTACTGCAAAGCATAATAAAATACAGTAATAGATTTTGACTGTTCAGTATATTTTATATACTGAGATAATATATTTAGTTCAACTTGCTTACAATGCATGACAATGAATTAGATCTTCATTAACTATTGATTACTGCAGATATCAAATATGTTCTTGACATAAATTAAGCACTTTCTCCATGTATTTGAATACAGAAACCTATACTGGACATGGGATTTAGCCTCTCTTGTATAATTTAGGGCTTAATAAGAAAGATTGTGGAGATGGTTGACACTAACATGTAGTCAACCTTTCAAAAATTGGGCCTTAGCTGTAATAGAATAATGGAAGAAAATCTGGTATATTTTCTTTGAAAAAGGGAAAATGGGTAGAAAATAATAAAGAGTAGAGTATAATAAGCACTACTGGTTCTAAAAACTTGTCTATGATTTGAGTTGCCACTGAACGTACCTTTATGTATTGTACCATCTATTAAAAGGCTGGCAAAATATTACAGTTCTATCATGTAAATTTAGGCAACTATGATGGAATAGGGATTAATGAATATTTTTTTTAAAAAATCTCTAAAAAATTCACAAGGTCTAGCAGTGGGGGTGTCATCTCTGAAGTATCAGAGTCTTTTGCAAGAATATTGAAGTTTGTGAGATTTGATAGTCTCACACGGTCTCAGAAGATGTCATCAGAAGATGACAAATATTTGTGTCCAGAACTCTAAGTGATACGTTCATATTCAGAAGCTTGATTTCTGGCATAATCTCAGTTTAGTCACAAATCCACATTCAATTAGGACTTGTATCTGAAAGTTGCTTCATACCTCGGTGACAATTTAGATTCCTCAAGCAGCTTTTTAAATTCTTCTTTGGCTAGCAGTAGTTTGTTTTTCTTTTCCTTATATTCTTCTCTTATTCTCGTCTTGACAAACTGCTCAAATATCTTAAAGAAAGAGGAGAGGAGAAAGGAAGGTTACAAAACACCATTAAATGAGTTACCTGTGAAGACAGACATTTCTTTAAAGCTACCTTTGAAAGTCTGTTGTAACAGAGTTTATTAAAATTATTTTATTGTCCCTCCCACAACTGTATTTTTTATTTATAGGCACTGCTTTCAGATCATGTCATGTAAACCTATAAATAAAATTCAAATGAATAAGTTCCTTCCTTAGGTCTTTGGTTTAAAGATTTCTGAACAGGTGGAGAGGTCTACTAGAATCACAGTACTACTTGTAATAGTAAGATTACTGTTTTAAATGAAGGGGGAAATTCTAAACTCAGCCTACAACAACAGTACAAAAGAATGATTTTTGCATTCTAGTGATACTTGCTAGAAGATTGGCATTATGTGGTGGCACAGTGGTTAGAATGCAGTATGGCAGATAGGGATGAGCTTCAGCCAGTTCGTGCCACTTCAACCGAACCGGATGTTAATTTTACATCTGATCTGGTGAACCGGTAGTTACAATGATTGGATGGCTCCACCCACCCTGCCCCTCCTCTCTCAGGAGTCCCCACGCGGCCTGTTTTGGATTGCAGATAAGTGCGGGGCCCATGTGGAGGTCTGCAGAGGGTGAAAAACGGGCTTCCCAGAGGCTCCAGAAGTTGGAAACAGGCCTGTTTCTGGCCTCCACAGAGCCTCCTTCTGAGGTTGGTAAAATGAGGACCCAGATTGTTGGGCACAATATGCTGATTCTGTAAACAACATACAGAGTGCTGTAAAACATTATGAAGCGATATATAAGTTTAAGTGCCATTGCTATTGCTACTTCATACGATGATCTTTCTCATCTGAGAACTTGCAACAACTTAGGCCTGTGGTTGCCATTTTATTTCCTGACTCAAACCCATTATCCAATAATCCTTTGTTCGCAATACAGGTAGTATATTTTAAGTCAATTTAAAGTCCCTGTGATGGAGTAACGGCTTTGTAAGTTGTTACCTGAAGAAAAACTTTTATTCAATTTTGGGTAATTTACCCAGATTTGGAAAGCAGCCCCTTACACTGTGAATATAAAAACTGCTTAACTAAATTTTGGGTAACCTGCATAGAATGTGGTCAATTTTGTATTTGGCTCCTGGGTCTTTCATTTGCAAAAAAAAAAAAAAAAGGAAGGCTTAATTATTTTTAGTTTTACTTGATGCTGTCTCTCCATATTCCCACAAAGAACCTCTAGTCTAACGTGACATACAGGTGGTCCTCAACTTACAACAATTCATTTAGTAACTATTTGAAGTTACAATGGCACTGAAAAAAAAAAGACTTGTCATTGTTTTTCACATTTATGATCATTGCGCCATCCCCATTCTCCATGGTCATGTGATCAAAATTCAGATGCATATCCTGGGGTCATGTGAGCATCTTTTGAGATCTTCTGACAAGAAAATTCAATGGGGAAGCCAGTTTCACTTAACAATTGTGTTGTTAATTTTATCAACTGCAGTGATTCCCTTAACAACTGTGATAAGAATAATATGGGGCAAAACACACTTAACAAATGTTTCACTCAGCAACATAAATTTTGGGCTCAATTGTGGTTGTAAGTTGAGGACTAGCTGTATTTTGGCAACCTGCTGTCCCAGAAACATATAATAAACATTGAAGAATTCTTGTTTCTCTATACTTAACACTGAGACTGGTACAATTTCAGCAAAAATACTCTTACCCCCTTTTTATTCATTTTATAGCTATGGATTGCACAATGAAGTGTCTTAGAGAAAACACAAACTTGAAATGAATATATGTGATGTGTTTGTGTGTACGTATATTCTTCTGTGAAGATATCTGTTTAGCTTTAGAGTTTTCAAATTTTATTTTTAGCCTTCACAGGAGAACATTTATCTCCAAGCTAGTAATTACACTTTCATTGACTTTCAGGAGTTGTATATATTAAACTATGAACGGGGATGGGGATTAAGAAACTTGACTCCATTTTAATGGATATACTTTCCAATTTTGAAATGTGACACACTGAAATAAACCCATTATGGAATTCAAAAAATAGTAGCCACAAAAGAAATATCATTCTAATATATGGAAATGATATATTCAGCAATGAAAATGAATGGTGTAATAAAACATTTTGTGGGGGATGCATATCCTCAGTCAAAACTGCATATTCCAGTTCTATATTCTATGGTGAACAGCCTTGCAGCCTCAAATTTCTTCTTTGGTCATTTTGCATTGGGTTGGTGAGTTGTCTCCTATAAAGGCTGAACTTTTTTTAAAAAAAAAACCGATTCAGCTGTATTGACTGCAATGACTCAGCACCTGATTACATTACTGCCACATACTCTGCTTGGGCCTCTCTTTAAAGACTTCCTAGAAGATTAAGTTGGTACTGAATGCAGTGGCCCAAGAGCAATGGCCTCCAATTAGCTCCTAGGGACAATTTGAAGTGCTGGGTTTATCTTGTAAAACCCTCTATGGCTGGCGCTAAATTGCCTGCGGGATCATATTTTACTATTGGAGTCAGCTGAACAACTTTGATCAGGCTGGGAGACAAACTTGACTATCTCTTATTTTGGGAAGTGGAGTTGAAGGCTAAAAGTATTGAATTTCTGTGATAAGGTTGGCCCTTTGGAATGGGTTCCCATTAGAGATCTGCCTGTTTCAACATTATTGGCTTTTCCAAAGAAGTTGAAAACAGCTTTTCCATATTGTCTTTAGAATCTCAGCCAACTTATTCTTTTATAAAGTTTAATGAACTTGTAAGATTTTTTTTTACTTGACAGTTATGTTTTTATCACTGTGAGCTTCCAAGAGTCTTCCTTGGTTGTGCTGGGAGATGAATGAATGAATGAACGAACAAACAAACAAACAAACAAACAAACAAATAAATGAAAGAAGGAAGGAAGGAAGGAAGGAAGGAAGGAAGGAAGGAAGGAAGGAAGCAAGCAAGTACTGGCTGTTGTTTTTTTTTCCTAGCAGGTTCAACACAACAATGCTTTTCAATTCAATTCAATTTATTGCAGTTGTAGACCGGTATATATAATTTAAGAGTTAAAATACATTTGTAAAACAAACTAACAGCTACAAGTGAGATCCAGGATACAGCCTACATTAAATTATAATGCAAAAACTAAAATTATATTAGTTATCTACAATTATGACACAGTCAAAGCATCTAAAACTATTAATATCAACAAAGGAAAAATATCAGGTGTTTAAATGAATCAGAGCTACAAAAAGGCATTTTGCTGTACAAAACCTAGCCACATGCATTATAACAAGGTGTACTTCATCTATGAACAGTATCTCGCCATGGCCAAATTCGGGTGACCAGGATATCCCTAATTAGTGGTAGTATGAATCTGATTCAGATGTTTCCATACAAGAAGAAGTGAAGAAGAACATGTCCTGCAGTTTCCACCTCTCTGGAATCCCAGGAGCAAAGCCTTCCAGCCAATTTCTTTTCATATTTACCATCCAATACTGCAGAGGGGAGAATATGGTAACCCAGCAATGATGAAATATTGGTCAAGTATTTTGCCAAGTTTCTACTTCTAGTCCAAGTGACAGGAAGGATGTTAAAACTGTCCCCTCATCCTCCATTCTCAGAAGAGGGAAAGCAATTGTGGAAGGAGCAAAAGAAACAGAGGAATCTGCCAATAAGGGGCCCCGTTAACCACTATTCAAACAAAGCAGCTGGCCATTACTGTCATCAAAATGGAGGAAAGATTTGAAATATGGGAGAAAAACCTTTCCAAGCCAGCTTTATTTCCAGCCAGTTTATCCACAGGAGACAAGTGGTTAAAGGCTGAAATGCGGAAAAGTGGTTATTATAGTGTAGTTCATAAGGGAGAAAGATCAATTAACAAGTAGATGTGTATATGAGTCCATTGTGTATGTCTTGTTCAAATTTAGCAGTAAATGATGTGATAGGTTATATCTGGCTATAAACTGAATTGTTTTCACAGAGATCATTTTAATTGAGTGCTTTTCTGCATGATAGTACTATTCTTTTTTTTATAACTGTAGGATAGTCATAGTTAATTTACTATGACCTTTTCAGTGTAACTGATGTGTGAGCTGAGACAAAATGCCAATATATCAAGAGAAAGTTCAATACACAATCCAGTTTCAATCCACCTAGTCCCAGAATAACCGGTTTCCATGGAAAGATTGGAGAGGAAACAACTTGAGAATTGTTCTAAACAACCAATATAAATACAAGTCATTTCAGGGCCAGAGTTCAATATTATGTATATGTTTATTTTAATGAGCAAATGAACTTCACATTAATAGGCACTTGGTGAAAATCTGTGTTTAAAAGTTACGGCTAATTGCAACACCACCATTCATAACTCCCCTGCTTTAGGCATTGGTATAACAATATCACTTACTGTAGACTTATATATTGCTTCACAGTGCTTTATAGCCGTCTCTAAGCAGAGCAGCATATTGCCCCCAACAATCTGGGTCCTCATTTTACCTTCCTTGGAAGGCTGGGTCAACCTTGAGCTGGTCAGAATCGATTAGCCTGCAATGCGGCAGAATTAGCCTGCAATGCTGCATTCTAACCACCGCACCACTACAGCTCATATTGGGGGGAAACCAACATTGGTGTAAAACCAGTGTTCTCAACTTCACCATCTTTAAGATGTATGGACTTTGATTCCAGAATTCCTCAGCACAGTGGATGCAGAATTCTGAGAGTTGGTCCAAACATCTTTAAAATGCTATAGTTGTGAAATACTGGCCTAGAAGATGCAGAACTAAAATTCAACAATTTAGAAGATTCCAAGTAAAACAGTATTTTACTATTTTAGATTCCATGTAGAAAATAGCTTGCAGCATAGCTTAATAGTGCTGGGAAAAACCTGTCAACAAGGATGGAATGTTTCTTCTAGACCAGGGGTGTCAAGCTCGCGTCATCACAGCATCGGCAGCATCACATGATGTATTGGGACTTTTTTCCCTTCGCTAAATCAGGCAGGGGC